AGAAAGTTATCGCCATTTTTAAATTTGTACAAAAGTTTTTGCCAAAATTGTTCAAAACTCACAAAATTCAAGCTAATGCCATTTCTAATACGATTAAAATTCATTTTTCCCCAAAAACCCAATTTATCGGTCGATAATTGATTGTGAAACATATAAAACCGCGCGTCACAAGTCCGCGACACGTTTGCCCCGAAGTCACAAAAAGTGAAACGAAAAGAGAGAAATTTCATTCTCGCTCCACTTGGCCCAACCTTTTTTTATTCTTTTCAACGTTCCCCTTTCCTAAAAGAAATCTCCTTAGGGCCCAAAAAGGGGGGACGTTTCTTGGAAAAAGGCAAAGTTTGGATAGTAGAGGGTAATTCAGAGTGGGATGGATACTTTAGGCTTTTAAAAAGCAGAGACGTTTTTCTTTAAGCCAATTCGATTTCCAAAAAGCAAGGGTAGCCTTTTAGAGGGTAAGGTAAAGTTGTGACGGGCAATGTAGACGGTAAGAGAAAAGGCAGGGTAGTTTTGTAAAAAGCAGCGTAAATTTGCAAGTTGCAAGGCACATTCTTAAAAGGCAGGGTAGTATTCTAAAAAACAGGACTGTATCTCAAAGGGCAGTGTAAATTTTTAAAGGGCAAGGTAGACTTTCAGTGAGGAGGGTAGATTTGTAAAGGGCTGAGTAGGCATTAAAAAGGTAGGGTGGATTTGTCAAAAACAAGCCAGATTTTTAATGAGCAGGGTACGGAATAGTAGGTCAGAGTTGGGTAAGGTAGAGTATTTTATGATCGGGTGGGATAAGGTTGGGTAGAAAATCTAGACATTTTTGCCGTTAAATAGTACTCAAGCTCTATCTACAATAAGTTTTAGAAAAAATACTATTCCAAGTACAAAATCTTTAAAAAAATCTTTTAAAAGCTGGTTTTATAGCACTAGAGTACCCATATTATGAGGTATTAAAGCGAATGCGCTTTTTTTGTATTTACATAGTTCACGATAACGTCATTTTCTAAAAGAAAATTTTTGAAAAAAGTCCTTCTCTGATCCTTTCATCCTTCAAAAAGTCCAAACCCAACCCCTCACACCCTACCCTACCCTGCTCTACCCTACACTACCCTGTCTCACCTTACCCTACCCTACCTAAACAAAACCGAAAAAAAAATTGCGACAAAACGTGCCCCAAAACGAAAAACTCGGGCCGAAAACGTTCCCCCCAGCCAAGAATAGCGAGCGCACATTAGAGGGGGGGGGGCCTCGAGAGCCCGAACGTTGCCCCTTTGGCCGTTAAGAAGCCCGGGAGGGGGGAAGCCGACACCAAAATCTGTTTGGAGATTTTTTTTTTCGTTTGGCTGGTAATGTGAGCATAAACGAGCAAAAACTCGAAAATCCATTCCTATGAAAAGACGAAAATGAATGAAAGCAAACAAGCCAAAAGAATGTTGTTTCACATTTTCTTTTGGGGGGATAGTCTGGTGATGTCAATAGAGTGTAGGGGTAAAAAAAAAGAAGGGGGGGGGGAGAGGAATGTAGTGTCAAGAGATTTGGTACAGTAAAAGTCTATTGAAAAAGTGGTTAGTAATGTAAAATTAAAAAAGTAGAGCAAAGACAAGTGAATGTTAGAGATTAGGATGAGAGTAGGGCAAGAATAAGGGAAGACAAGAGTAGGTAGAGCTAGACTAAGGCTAAGTCTAGAGCTAGAGAGCTGGGGCTAGGTTTAGGACTAAAACGAAGGTAAGAGCAAAGGCTGATGCAAAGGCTGGGGCAAAGGCAGGAGCAAAGGCTAGGGCATGGACTAAAAAAATTTCCCATTACCAGCCTCTCCTTCCTCCTAACAGATTTTACCCCGCCCTAAAAAATTTTTTTAAACCTTCAAATATTTTTAAGACTGGGCATTTTTTTTAAACTGAGATAAAATTTCTCCTCCTCCGTTCCCCTCCCCTCCCCCTTAAATAATGTCTCTTACCCCGCCCTAAAAAATTTTTTTTCCAAACCTGAAATTTTTTAACTCGGCAATTTTCATTTAAAAAAATTTTTTTTTGCCCTTTCCCATCCCCACTGTTTCTTCACCCCAAAGAAAAATTTACCAAGCCCTAAAAAATTTTTTTTAAATCTAAGAACTTCAAAATTAAGACATTTTTTCCCCAAAAAAATGGTCAAATTTCGAAGTTAAACAGCTCCAAAAAACACGAAAAAACTTGGAAAGCCGTCTTTCGCAAAAAAGTTTGGCCAAAACCCCTGCGGCTCTTTTCCCCCCCATCCAGCTGCCCACGCATTTGCTTCTACCGTTTCAAAGTCGAAAAAATTAAAATTCAATTCGAGGGGAGAAGAAACTGGTGGCAGATGAATTAAAACGGTCATACGTAATGAGTTGCTGAGTAGTTAAGTTGAAGTTATTGGGGGAGTAAATTGAAGTTTTTAAATTTTTTTAGAAAAGTGGTGTTTTTGAAGAGAAAACTAACAGACAGGGCAAAGGCAGAGTGAATGGAAGACAAGAGAAGCGCAACGGCAAGTAAGGGTTTGGTAGAACATGATAATGTAAGATAGACCTGCCTTTGCATTACCTTTGCCTTATATTTGCCCTACCCTTACCCTAACTTTGTTTTACCCTTGCTTTAAGTTTGCTCTGCCCTTGCTCTAACTCTGTCCTACCCTTGTCTTATCCTTGCAATAACGTTGCTCTACCAAACACCTACCCTTGCTTTACACTTGCCCTACCTTTTCCCTTCTTTTGACAAAACTTTGCTCTACCAAACACCTACTCTTGCTTTACTCTTGCCCTACTCTTGTTTTATCCTTGCCCTGCTCTCGCCCTAGCCTCGCCCTACCTTTGCGTTATACTTGACCTGACTTACCGTATTTTTTTCACCACCCTTGCCCTACTCTTGCCACACCCGTGCCCTGTCCTTTCTCTGCTTTTGCCTTATCCTTACCCTGCTCTTGCCTTACTCTTGCTTTACCTCGCCCTACCGTTACCCTACCCTTGCCCTATCTTTGCCTTATCCTTGACCTGCCTTGCTTGACATATCCTTGCTTTATCGTCGCCCTACTCTTGCCATACCCTTGCTCTACACTAACATAACCCATTCCTTTAAGGATGTGCCCTGCCATGTAAAATCAACTCAGCCCTTAAAAAACCCTTCCCTACCCTACTTTACCCTGCCATTCCCTACCTTACCCTGCCTTGCCATATCCTACTTTACCCTACCCCCACCTTACCCTACCCCACCTATGTGTAATTAACCGTAAAAAGCTGTAATGCCGAGCTTCAGTAGTCCAAAATATTGATATTACAAATAGCCCACTTTTAATCTGTCACGAAACAATTTAAAAATGAAATTGTAAACCAATCCTTTAGCCAAAATTAAAATTATGGCTTAAGGCGATTAGGACGTCAACCTCGCACAAACAATTAAATTAAGATGTACATATTACGCTGTCTTTTGGGTTTGTCACACATGTTTTTGGAGGTATTTTTAAAGACTATGTCGAAGATGACCATTTATGTCATATATGACAAAATAAAGCAAAAAAATCAGAAATTTTCGGCATTGTGACATATTTTGAAACCACTATTGCAAAACATATTGCTCTGTCATTTGACAACGCACTGTGTCACAAATACAACCATTGTAAACTGATTATCGTGGCTTAGACTAGAATGCTACGGTCTTTAGGTCTGAAATAAAAGCTGTGAAACTTTCTTTACAAAGTGAAAAATGACAAGAACTCTTTACAAGATGAAAAGTGGCAAGGACTTTCTTTACAAAGTTTAAAATGACAAGAACTTTGTTAGCACCATAAGACATGACAAGAACTTCTTTACAAAACCAAAAATAGCAAGAACTTTCTTTACAAAACACAAGATTTAAAAAACACAGGTTATAAAACTAAACTCCCCCCCCAACCTCCTTCTCCTCAAATGTCAAAACTTAAAGGTTTTCCAGAAAAATATAAAAACAGAGATCAAACATAGTTAATAGAGACAAGTCAAAACACATATTTTTTGTTTAATAATCGTTTGTTTTGATAAAAGCATTAGACTTATAAATGCGTATTAAAAATTGCACTATAGAAATTTTAAAATACTAAAACGGAAAAAAGTGGCGAGAAAAAAGTAAAACAAAAATAAAAAATTTATATTTAAAAAATTTATTTTAGATTTTTTTTTGGTTTTGCACGGCCCTAACTACCCTATTCTGCCCAACTTACAAGGAAAGTGCCCCGCTCTGATTGACTTCAAACTTTCTACAAAGAAATGCCAGGTAAATATAAGATCTTCATCAAAGTACTGAATCGCGCTTTCCAGGAAATCTCGAGAAAATCGAGATTAAAAAATGACATTTTGAGTTTCCCGCAAACTTGGCATTGTGTTTCAAGCTTGTAACTTTGTCATTTTTTGACTTTTAATAATTTTTCTTTGATATATCAGTAGAATACCTTAAAGTGGACCTACATTTTTTAATTTGTAAGCGTATCTTGTCTGGAAAGCCGAAAAAAGTGCTTAAAACACAATGCCAAATTTGCCAAATTGGCGGGAAACCCAAATAGTTTAAATTTAAAACTCAAAAGCGCAAGCTAAAATTTTTTATGGGTACTATTGGCGGTACAAAGAATTCATATAAAAAATTTGAGCTGATTCTGAGCGGGACAGGTAGGGTACTTTCCTTGTTAGCCCTAGCCTTAACTCACCCTTCCCTACATTACCCCAGTATACGCTTCATGTTAAAGATAACGGAATGCCGTAATACATCAACCTGTCATTTAAAAACCTGCTCCTTCTTTTAAAAGTATAAATTTAAATTTCGCTTTGAGTTTTGACCCTGCTTTCCAAAAAGTTTATAATTTTCTTTTAAATCCTTGCTCTAGCCGTCGGCGCAGGTCAAATAAGGTACTCTACACTTATTTGAGTTGCGCCCACGTTTTCACGGCCCCAGGCTACCCTATCCTTATCAGTCTTCGCCTTTTTTATAACATACTCAGCAGCACCCAACCCAGACCGTGCAATCGTAAAGATATCTTTAAATCCTACCTAAGCTCCCACTGGAGTCGCTGTTAGGAGTACCTGGAGCACTGCCCATATCAATCATGACTTTGTAATGTTTTTCTAGAATACTATACAAGATGCTATTCCTATACATTTTGAGTAGATATACTAATATATATACCTAATATTTAAAGCACAAATAAGTTATGGTAATTTAGGGGTGAAGTAGTATAACGTTAGAGTTTTGCAGTATAATGGGCGGGGTAGATTAATTTTTGTGCAGGGGTGGAATAATATATCAATATTATCTTAGTGTGGGTGATACAAAGAATCAATAACTACAATATGCCCACTAGAATGGGCGTGGTAAATTAAGATTTAACCTCAAAACAGCACAAAATTTAGCAAAATCAGCAAAAATATTATTTTAAATACGTGTTTCACCAGAATTCAACGTTACAAAGCAGGAATAACAAAATATGTGGGCAGTATTAGTATTCAAAATAGGTTTGAATCGATCCGAAATCGAATTTTACTGTTTCAAGTTTGAGAATTCAAAAAAGCCCGGCGGGCTTTTGAATAAATTTAAGTTTTGGGGGATTATTTTAGTGGTTCCTCGGAACTTTTCGTCAATTTTAAGGATATTTGTAACTTTTAAAATTAAATTTTTTAAAAAATACCAAGATAAAAAAGCGTATTTTACATTTTCTGATTTTTGTGCTAATGTCACGAAATGGCACAAAATAGTCATAAAATGACAAAAAAGCGGCAAAAAATTGATGTTTTGCACCGTGCAGAGTTATATTTTGAAATTTAAAAATGTTTAAAAAAAGCAATTATAAGCCTTGAAGCATTAACATTACTGTAACTTCTTTTAAATTTTTTAAAATAATTTTTTATACATCGTATTTTACAAAAATTTGAAAAATTAAATTTAAAAAAAAAATTTTAAATTTGAAAAAAAGCACAATTTTTAAAATTTTAAAACACTGTTGAACAACTCAAAATTTAAATTTAAAAAAATTAAAAAAAATAAATAAAAAACAAAAAAAAATCTAAAAATGATAAACCAACCTCTAATTCTGGCAGCAATGTCCTTTTGATAGCTGTTGTCTTCATATTCAGTCGAGTTTGGCGAAAATGAAGATAAACTTGGTTGATATGCCTGAAAAGTTTTGTAAAGAAAGTTTTTGTCATTTTATGTTTTGTAAGGAAAGTTCTTGCCATTTTTTGTTTTGTAAAGAAAGTTTTTGTCATTTGTATGAGAAACAACTGAAATTTTGAGTTTTGCGGGCTGCGGATGACAAGTTATACGATAAATAACATTTTTTCAATTTTCTGGTATTGTAAATAAAATTTTTAAAATTACTCGCTTTGTAAAGAAAGTTCTTGCCATTTTATGGCTTGTAAAAAAGTTCATGCCATTTGTTCTTAAAATCTTAAAAGTCCACCCTTTTTCACGTAAAAACTACAGTAATCTTACATTTTCGACCAAACTCTGTGACCTAATTGGAGGCCCTTTTTGAATGATTTGAGCCGCCAGTTCATCCACCTTTCGATCACATTCATCCGACGTTTTCCTTTCGATTTCCATATATAAATCAATTTCTCGATTCACAATCTCTCGATTCATCGATACTCGTTGCTCTGATTGCCATACTCGTCGGGTTAGCACTGATCCTAGAATGCAAAAATTGACATAACTTTTGAAAAATTTGAAAAACTTTTAAAAAATTTTAAATTTTTAAAAAATTTGAAAAATCAAAAAATTTAAAAAAATATAGAACTTGAAAATCTAAAAGTGAAAATTAAAAAAATTTTAAAAAATCTTACGTGCAGGCATCATGGCATGACAAAAAGAAGAGCTTCGTCCTTGACTAACCATGGGTTTTTCTTCATTTTGTACACTGAAACATAACGCAATAATAATTTAATAAGTATAAGTAAAACTTTAGGTAATAAACCCATAATAGCCCAGAGTTCTAGATTAGAACCTGAACTTAAAGCCTTAGCCCGGAGCGCTAGATCAGAGCCCTAGTCTAGAGCCTTAGCCCGAAGCGCTAGCCCAGAGCCCTAGCCTAGAACCCTCTTATACTTCAAGTATAGTATTAAAAAGGCTATCCTATCATAAACATAGTATAAGCCTAGCCAATCAGCGTACTATAAGACTAATTAATCAGCATAGTATAGGCCTAGTAAATATAAGCTTACCTAAGCATACCATCAAGTAAAGCATATAAAAACCGCATCAGAACAATTGTTTTGAAAAAACTTTTATTGCTTATATGACACAATTAAAAATAAAACCATTTTTCTACCGTATATTTACGATAAATAAAGGTTTGAGTTCGCTAAACCAATTTCGACCAAATTTTTTGATTCAGAATTTAGCAAACTGTTAATAGAGAACATAAAAGATCAGTCTTTAGTAAAGATGCTCTAGTACATATAAACAGAATCAACATAGGAATCCTAAGCCTAGCCGAACCCAACATATTAGGTAAAGCAAAACCTAAAAAATCAAAAAAAAATCTTTAAAAACCTCCCTACCTCGCCCCAGGACTTTTATAAGCCGTCGACTCCTGTGGACTTTGTAGTGAGAGATCATGTAGGTTGGCCAGATCAGGTGAAGGGTTTGGCAATGAGATGGATGAGCTGGCTTCATCGAAAGAACTGGTCGCAGTCGTCGGATTGGACTGGGTACCCAGCCGAGGCCAGGCATCTGAAGGTTGTTGCGCAATAGTCGTCGTGGCTTCTTTTTTGATTTCGGCTAGACTAATGATTAGTTTGGCTGGATTTGAATTGGAGCTGAGCTGGTTTTCGGCCAGTTTGAAAGGTAGCTTGGGTAGGGGTAAATTGAGGGTGGATTATAGAGTTAATAGCTGTAGATGTAAAGGTAGAAGGCTAAGGTAGCCTTACATATAAAGATAGACAAGTACAATTATTACAGTATATGGTCTATATGTAGAGTAATTCTACATAAAAAAATAACTGCTTCAAGGTATAGGCTTGAGTAGTAGATAATGGAAATACAATTTTAGGTTTAGGTAGGAAGTATGGTAGTAGGTAGTAGATACCAGTAGGTATAGATAGTGTAGTAAACAATGTGTTCGGAACGTGGGTGATATGATTAAATATTAATTAAGATAACAATAACAGAAACAAAAACCTGAAATATTGTAGTTTTAATTATAAAAAAATAATTTTTATTTTAATCAAGGCTACAAATATACATTTCGCGGAAGCAACCATTAATTATAATAATAAAAAACGCGGAATCAAAATACGCCTTAAAATGAATAAATTTAAAATTTTTTGTATGAAAAGCTACCTTAAGCTAAAATAGCTAAAACTTTATTTACAAAGCCACAAAATGGCAAAATCTTTCATTAGAAAATAAACAACTTCATAAAATTGTATTTACGGAATAAGATTTGGAAAATCTTATTCACCGTATAACTTGTCACCCGCAATCTGCACAAGACACAATTTTTGTAATTGAACTTTCCTTAAAAAACAAAAAATTGGTAAAAACTTTCTTTACAAAACAAAAAATGACAAAAACCTTTCCTTAAAGCTTTGCAAAAACATAAAATAATAGGCCTTCGTATAACTTGTCACCCGCACGCAGGCTGCTAAAATAAACTAATGTAAAATACGCCCTTCATCTTCAGGTAATCCCTGTGGTCTCATTACAAAACTAAATCCCAAACTTAAAAAAAGTTTAATTTGAAAAGTGTGCTTGTATAAATTGTACTAATATACCCCCCTACCCCTTCTCTCTATTAAAACTTGGCCCTAATTTTGCCCATTAGGCCTGTTGTCTTTTAATAATAATTTTAGTATTTTGCCCTTTAATTTTAGATCTAAACCCCCAAATTTCCGTTACCTAACCTTTGCCCATTATTGTAACTGTTCTTCTCCTAATTCACAAACTTTTTGTTTATCAATCAATCCCGTTTTGACCCTGCGGCGATTCCGACACTGTTGTAAACCCGGACCCTTTTAAACCGGAGGATGGGTCGGTGTTCTTTGGCGAACGGGTCAGCTCTTGATTCGGAACCCACTTCCGACGCCAATTAACGGCCGATGTAATGTTCGGTAAACGTGAACGTTGTGATTGATATCTTAATGATTTACAAGGTAAGACGTTTCTTAACAGTTTCTTGCTGTTCTCCCCATTTTTCGACCTTTTCTCCTGATTTTTGAAGCCTGGAGGGCGTTTTTAAAGCGTCATAGGGAATTTTTAAGGCTGTTTAGCGATTAGAAAGTATGTTTTTTTAAAAAGTTTGTAAAAAAAAGTTGTTTACTTTTTGAAGATTTTTACTGTTTTTTGAGGTTTTTGACCATTTGTTTATGTTTTTCAACTGTTTAAACTTTCTCTAATGTTTCAAAATCGAATAATAAGGTAACAAAAGGTATCAAATTTAATATTTTTTGATAAAAAATTTAAAACGTTTTTAAAAAAGCTTAAAAATCTATTTGTAAAGCACGATAAAGCTTAAATATAGAAATTTTTAAAAATATTTTTTAAAAAAAATTTAAAACAAAAATTTTAAGCTGTTATTCATGAACTAACTAATCGAAAGATATAAAGGATAATATAGGAAAACAAAAAGTAAAAAAATGGGATGAAAAGCCTAAAATTCAGAGAAAATCATCAAAAACAAGCACAAAACAGCAAAAAAGTGGCCAAGTGGGTCGAAAAACCCCATAAACCATCTTTGTAAACCTAAAAGGATGCCGTATTTTCTAACCAAGTGATAAATCGTTTTGTAAACTTCAACTTTTTAAACTTTAAAAAGTAATAAATAAAGTCACTATGTTACCAAGAAATAGATGTATCGACCAATTTGACCAATTCGTAGCGGGCGACAGTACGCATCTTACCTAAAGTTAAGTAAACTTTCTGTTAGTTTATACCTATTGATGTAAAGTACTTTTCACTAGTTGTAATGTTGTTTTTGTTGTTTTTCTTTACTCATCCAAAAAAAGAAAAGTATGTTCGGTCAATCTATGTATCTGTGATCGGCAACTTGGTTAATGAATTTGCAAAATGTAAAAAAAACAAACAAAATGACCTTTTATTGTAATTGACGTTGTAAAACTGCGGTTTAAGTAAAAAGAAATTTTTTAAATTATGATCTACATGTTCTAGCTTGTAAAGAAAGTTTTTTCTATTTCTTGTTTTGTAAAGAAAGTTTTTGCTATTTTTTATTCTGTGAAGGAAATTCTTGCTATTTTTATTTAATAAAACAAATATTTTGATAAAGTTTTTGCCATTTTTTGTTCTGTAAAAAAGTTTTTGCCATTTCAATAACAGTACTGGTCGTAGTACTAATAGTACTATAAAATTGCAATTAGTACTATAAATAGTATGGTCACTTAAATTTTAGTGCTAAACAGGTTATATTATTACTGGTCATAGTACTAATCTACTGTCACTTAAAACAGTTTTCTACCCCACCTATATCTCCCCACCCTATCCCAACTCAACTGCACTTTACCCTACCTACCCTTCCGCACTCTACCCCACCCTACTATACCCTACTTATTCTACCCCACCCTACTATACTCTACTCACCTTGCCCCACACCACACCACTCTCTCAAAACCCAAAACTTTATAATAATAACCCAGTACTATAATATTCAATAAAACCTAAAAGACGAATGATATCCGCCAGGAAACGTCTTTCTCTCGAAAAACCACCTGAGGAATCTTTCAAGTCCGAATTTCAGGATAAAATGGACAAAAAACAAAAAAAAAGTTAAAAGCCGTTGGGAAAAGTGCAAACGACTGGACAAACAGCTGAATGGACCATCTTTTGTCACAAATATCAACAAGATCTGCACTCTCTTCAAGCACATTCCCTCCGGCGAACATTCGCAAAGTGGACTTGTTGATTTTTCTCAGAAAAGTGGAAACAAAGTTTTCGCGTTTTTGAAAAAAAAATATTGAAAAAGTGATTTTTTGAATTTGAAAAGAAAGTTTTCGTGTTAGGTATATAAAAAATAAAAAAAAAGAGTTTTGGGTACTGTAAACAAAGTTTTTGCGTTTTTTGCTTTCCAATGAAAGTTCTTGCCATTTTTTGGTTTGTAAACAAAGTTTTTGCCAAATCATTAAAAATACTTTAAAAATTTCAAAACCCACTCATTTTTTTAAATAAAACAAGTTCAGACTAAATCCGAAACACATTTTTACACTTACATATTACAGTTAATTACTTTACACGATCCCAATTACATCATTGTAAACGTAAATTGACAATCTTTTGTAACGAGAGTAAAAAATCAAAAAAAAGTTAAAAAATGGCAAGAACTTTCTTTACAAAACAAAAAATGGCAAGAACTTTCTTTACAAAGCAAAAAATGGCAAGAACTTTCTTTACAAAGCAAAAAATGGCAAGAACTTTATTTACAAAACAAAAAGAAGCCGTTTTAGTTCATTTTCGAATCTTTACTTACCAAAATATCAAAACAGCCTAATTGTGTACTTAAAACCCACCAAATTGATAAATAAATTCCTATTAGAAGGTATACTGCATATCATCCAAACATGCAATAAATATAATAATTTGTTGCAGTAATTGCTTTTTCAACATTAGTCACACCAAATGGCCATACCCAAGAAACATATATGTTAGTAAAGCTAGTATTACCTTCTAATTAACATATTTTGCTAACACTTTTTATGTTTTAGGTACAAACTATAAAGAAGCACTTGATGTTTCAACTAAGATAGTTTAGTGGCCTCAAGGCTCAAAAAACAGGTAAACACACAATTATGAACTCGTTGCAAATGGACAAAATAGTGGCTTAAAAAGGCATTTTTCCATTATTCCAACATACTTTATCCTACCCCATCTCACCCTACTTTACTCTGCCCTACGCTACCATACTTTACCTTAAAAAAATAAATTACCCCCCCCCCTACTAAACCATAAAAAAAAACAAAAACAAATTTTTGTCCGTCTTTACCCCCCCCTTCATAAAAAAAACAAGTGACAAGCCCGGCACCGATTGTATAATAATAAATATAACAAATTAAAACTGTCATCATACAAGTTCATTCTGGATGGTCGTAAACTTGTGAAAATCAAACATTATTATTAAAATGTACTAAACAGAGATTATGACATATTGACGGCATTTTTTTATGACAAACATCAAAAAAGAACAATTATATTAAAAAGTAATGTCAATGTACATATTAACATAAAAAAAAATTAAAAATAATTTTTTATTTTTTCCGCCCCTTACAAATTTACTTTACCCTGCTCTACTCCTTCCTTATCTAACCCCTTCCCTACCTACCCCTTTCATTAAATTCGCTAATCTTGCAGCCATACCTCAAACTTGAACTCAAATTCTTTGGCCAAACTCTACAAAAACATGTTATAATAGAAAGTAATTATTAATGTCATCTAAGATACTACAACAGACTTCATTTTCTAATTTTATAAAGACAATTTTTGCCATTTTAGTAAATAGCATGGAAAAGTACAAGGTCGTTTAGATATCTTACCTTACGTTGCCTTGTCTTGCCCTATTTTACTCTACCCAACCCTATGTTAGTTTACCTTATCCTATCACACCTTATCTTACTCTGTCTTACCCTATCTTGTTCTATCCTGTCTTAATGTCTCTACCCCTAAAATACCCCCCCCTACTATTACAAAAAACCACCTCAAATCCGCTCTCCTAACCTCAAGAATGACCACCCTCTTTCCCCTTTGTTCTTTTCCCCCAAGTGACATATATATTAAACTAATTATCACTTAAGTATGACCGCGTTTACAGTTTCAAACGGAATGTCCTTTTATGAAGTGCGAGCAAAAAACGAACACGTGGGCGGGTTTTCTCCCCGCCCGGGTTAAATATAAAAAGCCCTCAAAAACACACGCAAAGAACCAAAGGGGGGGGAATGCCGGCCGCGGCCAAACGTCATTTTATATATAAGGCAATGCACCTTGCTCTCCCGCCTCCGCCCCCGCCCAACTTTTCTTTAAGCTTGCCTGAACTTGGCAATCGTTTGCAAAACGGTTTTCGATTCCACCCCGCCCTAGGTTTTGGACTGGAAAATCGGTGGGTTAAAAATAACTTTAACGTGCCGTTTTGAGATTTGAACTAAAAATTAGAAAAATTTTAAAGAAAAACATTTGAAAGCCCATCAAAATTTAAAAAAAATAAAGATGGCAAAGTTCTTGCCATTTTAGGTCTTGTAAACAAAGTTCTTGTCATTTTTTGTATTGTAAAGAAAGTTCTTGCCATTTTTTGTTTTGTAAAGAAAGTTCTTGCTATTTTTTGTTTTGTAAAGAAAGTTCTTGCCATTTTTTGGTTTTTAAAGAAAGTTCTTGCAACTTAAGTTTAAAAAAACAATATTTACAAATTTTGCAGCCTGCGGGTCACATTTTATACTATGGATCACAATTTTTGCTATTTTTTAATTTGGAAAGAAAGTTCTTGCCATTTTTTATGTTGTAAACAAAGTTTTTTGATTTTTTAGCTCTGTAAAGAAAGTTTTTACCATTTAACAAAATCTACGTTACCACGCCTCACTTTACATGGCCTCACCTTACTGTGCCTTATCTTATCCTACCTAACCAAAAAGCTCATTTTTCCCTCAAAGAAGATAGAGTTACAGTACGACAAGACTAAGAAAGCTAAAAATAGGCGCGTAGGTTAAAAGGACATTGAGTGGACATACTCTCGTTTTCAAGCCTAATTAAGCTTTTAATAGGCTTGGAACGAAAACGGTGCAAAATTCGACAAAGCATGGGTCAAAAGTTTAATACGGTAGGTGGGGAAGGGTTTTTTAAAACTGTACTAAGACATGGCAAGTAGCTACTAGTAGTTTAAAATTTGTCATAAAAACCGTTAAAATTTTAAAAATTTACAAAAGGGTCAAAAGAGTAAAGTAACGTTGTAAAAACCAAAGCCAATGACAAAAAGCTACATAAAACACGTTTAATTTTTAAAAAATGACAAAAATTGTGCCCTTAAATATACAAAAATGACCTGCCGAACGTCATCCATCCCGCTCCTTGACTTAATTTTGTCAAAAGTATCAAAACAACAAAAACAAATAATAACAAAATTAAATTACAGTGAATTTAACGTCACTTTGGAGTCCGTCTACAGTAAAATATTTAGTCATACGGTGGTCATAATAACGGTAATGGTATGGAGTAGGACTATAGTAGGATAAGAGTAATGCTGGAACTTGACTAATAGAATGCTAGGGTAAAACCTACCTAAGGCTAAAGAAATTCAAAGTCTAAGGCTCAAGCTCATGCTCAAGCTCAAGCTCAAACTCAAGATCATAATCAAGTTCAAGCTCAAGCTCTTGCTCTAGCTCTAGCTCTAGCTCTAGCTCTAGCTCTAACTCTAGCTCTAGCTCTAGCTCTAGCTCTAGCTTTAGCTCTAGCTCTAGCTCTAGCTCTAGCTCTAGCTCTAGCTCTAGCTCTAGCTCTAGCTTTAGCTCTAGCTCTAGCTCTAGCTCTAGCTCTAGCTCTAGCTCTAGCTTTAGCTCTAGCTCTAGCTCAAGTTCAAGCTCAAGTTCAAGCTCAGGCTCAAGTTCGAGCTCAGGCTCAATTTCAAGCTTAAGCCTAGACGTATCTCCAAGCGAAAGCTTAACCTAAACCTGAAGCTATGCTTTTCTTTTCGTAGAAAATTTTTTTTGTAAAAAACTGTCATTAAAACTGTTGCATTTCCACCCCAACATCGTCATCACATATAAAATTAGAAGCAAGTATCACAAAAAAAGCAAGTATCACATTCGTTAGCATCCAGTATCAAAACCTCATTTTTACGCGACTCTCTATGGCCCGTAAGTTAATTTTGAATTACTTTTTATGTCGTCACGACATTTAAAATTAGCTCATTGAATTTAAAAATAGATTCCTTGGTACTCTAAAGTGCTAAATATAAACATTTGTATATTTTAGGCATATCTAACAGCAAAAAAAATTTCATCTTGCCCACCCCCTAGAAATTAGAAACAACCCCTTAGAAATTAGAACAAATAACTGTCGAGAAAAACCAATAAACTTAAACTAACTTTTAAAAAAAGCCGATTTTTTATAACAAAAATAATGACACAATATAATTTTAGATTACCTTTTTATGTCATAGTTAATTTTACATTACTTGCAAAAACAAAAACTAATTTTGAATTACTCAAACTGCTAATTTTATAGTACCTACAACAACAAAACTAATTTAAAATTACTGTAAACGTCAAAAGAACCTTTTTTACATGAGTGACATAATGAAAAAAAAAAATACTCGCCCTATCAATTGTATTTTGTCTTACCTTATCTTACGCTTCCCTACTACACTTTACTACACCCTACTCTACCCTAACCTGACAAAAAATTTAAAAAAAATTTATTCCCTCCCCAGCAAAAAGTCAAAAACCAACCATAAAATTACCCCTCTCCCACATAATTTACAAAATGATAAAGTGTATTACACTGCATTTAATATTAACATAAACTTTTGACAAACAAAACAAACCCTTCAATAAACAACCCCCCCCCCCTCTTAAACAACGTGCCGTAGGCGTCATTGTTGTTTACAGAGTATTAAACCGGGTCCGAGTCAAACCCGATAAGTCATTTGCCATTCTAATTACGAGTCAACTACGCATTTAAACTTGACCGGGCCGATCCCCGGAAAACGGGCTTTACCTTAATACATGTACGTATGGGTAAGTTAATAACATGGTAAGAGTTTTGAAATTAAAAATAATGTTTGGAAGAAAAAACACGTCTAAAGATAGAATGATGGATACAGAGAAATGTTATCGGATGATGTTTGAAGTGAACATCAATTTATTTACATTGTTGTTAAAATAAATATTTGATTATAAAACCGTGTAACAGAACTTTTTGCGCACCCTGTAAATATGAACCTAAATTTTCTAAAAAGAGACTACCAGCTACTGTGATCAGATAGACAAGCCGAGGCACAATCTTCCAACAATGTTCAGGAAAAAAGGTCCAATAATTCTGCAAGACAACGCTCGACCACACATTGCAAAGAAGACTGTAGCGTAGTTAAAGAGTTAGGCCATTCAATGATCCTCCTAAGAAGTACGAACGCCCAGAATCACCTGATAAACCTCAACCCCTAACCCCCTCAAAATAGTCATAAACATCGAACTTTTGTCTATTCTAATTAAAAGACTTGATAATGAGGTCAAGATTCGAATAGTTATTAAATTTTCGGCCGGAATGACGCGGCATTCATTGAGTATTCTTAACATCAAACAGCGTGAGACAAATAGTTATTTTAAGTCGTTTTAAATATTCATAATACTGGTTGCAGCCTATTTTTAAACTTATTGTTTTTGATACTATGATAAAAGGTCATTTTGCAAACGAGAATACCAACAGACCAATACATACTAAGAATATGCCTATTAACCTTAAGTGTAATTAGCCTAACCCTAACAAGCCTACTGAAGGTAAGCTAAAAAATCCTAAGCTTTTTGAGCGCAAGCCTACTGAGCTTATGAATCCCAAGTCTAAGCCTACAAAACTGAGCATATGATATATCTTTCAACGGTCGAAAGCATCCGTAACGCAACAGAGGAAAAATTTTTCGACGTCACCTAAGTTTCATGCTATAACATAATAGCCTTAGAGAAATTGCAAGAAATGGTATTGTGTAACTTTTCTTTATGTAATATTAGGATGTTATATAATATATAGTCCAATGTAAAACGACCCAACAAATTACTGCTAGTGTAGGGATCTAGTCCACATTTCATCGAGACACTACTTCTTATTTGCTATGCGTTCTATGATAAAATGCATTTACTAGTTCATGTGGTTAAGCCTAGGCTCACTGAAAACTTAGCCTTTGCCTTAGCTTTAGTCTAAACCTAAGCCTAACCATGAGGCCAACCGTGAGCCTGAGCATGAACCTGAGCCATAGCCATAAGTTCACTAACATAATCTACCTTATCTCTGCTTTAACCTTGTTTTGGTCTTGCTCTAACCTAGCTCTGAAATTTTGCCTTACAATAAGATATCCCGCTGCCCTTTTCCCTCTCCGTCCCAATCAAAAATTTAAAAAAATTCCATTTCCACCCTATACCGTTCTCTAAATAAACCACCATGTAACATTCGCGTACAAAATACTCAGCTGTAGAGCACGAAAACCCAATTACTTATATACACGAACGGCCTAATAGAGTTAACGTGTTCGACCAAATTAAACGATTACATTGAAAATGACGCCTGTTTGAACTGTTATCAATCAAAACGCACCCCCACCACCCCCTCAGCAAATTGTAACTTTTTGTGAAACAGTTTAGCCAATTTCGAATGTGTGACTTTTTGTCATTGAGTGATCTGAGAATTTTAGTTTAATCATTGGTGATTTGGTGGGTTCGATTTAACAATGTTTTAGTTACTTATTGTCATAGTCTGGGTTTAAGAAGGTTATTTGAATTTTTAAGTTTACACCATTACAAACTAACGTTAGTATAGAGCACGTCCTAATCTTAGCCCCAGCCTTAACCCTTTCTAGACCTTAAAGAAATGACACTGCCGTTAGGCAAAAAAAACCCGTGTACAGTCTTAAAAGACACAAAAGATTAATCCAAAAATTCTACCTCTACAACAAGATAGACATCTCCGTACCTTTTGCTAAAGTTCACTAAATCGTTTATTTTTTAACTTTTTTGCATTTTCTTTGCACTCGCTACAAAAACTGCCGTCCGGTCCTTAATTCTTAACCTCGCACTAAAACGTAGTAGTATAGGCCTGCAACAACTGCAGCCAACTAGTGATTAGCGTCGGTGAAGCCACGGGCTACAAAGCGACAAACAAAAACTTGTGCACGCTTCCGAATTATAGTTATTTGGTACGTGGCGAACTAATTACGCATTCTGAGGACACGTACGTTGATGACAAATTTTGATACAATGCCATAACAATAGAAGGGCATGTTTTCTAGTTCAGACAATATTATTAGTGCGAGTGAGAAGGGGGGTTTATTGCCACCCTCATGATAAAACTTGTAAATACTATAAATTATTTTTTAATCTGCAGGCAAATGACTATAATCTTATGGGTAAGTTTCGGCTTATATTTACGGCGCAAAATTTAGACCGCAAAAAATCCAAAGTACTAACGTCTACTAATGCACTTAGACTGATACAGTAGTTTTTACAGTATAATACGCAAATTGAAAATTTAAGATTAAAACCAACTGGTTTTAAAAGCTCACTTACCCCAAAAAGTTTGCCTTCTAATAATACAACTTGTCAAAAGATAAGCTAAACTTTAATATGTCAAAGCTTTATACGGCTTATGTCATTTCCGTCCATTTTTACCTCCCCCTTGTTACCTCGCTCATCAAAAAGAATTGTCATTTCGTACGATAATACGCAAAGTACAGCGACAATGCGCAACAAACATCGACCTTTTCGTAATTGGCACGTTGAAAAGTAATTGTTAATGTTAGACGCGTTTCCGGCCGTTTAAAAAAAGAAACACGTAATTAACTGTTACTATATGGGTTGATAATATAAGTCATTTATAGGCGTATTTATTTATTTAGGTAATTTACGACGTCAAAATTACGAAGCAACGCTATTTTTGTGCTGTCGGTTCAGTTTTTTAAATGTCTGTGATACTATTTTAAAACTGCAAAGTAGGATGATACTATGATGAGAAGCTACAATCATGTTTCTTTTTATAGGTAGTACGTATTGTCCATTTTTAGAAAACTATGTTTCAAAAACCTACACTTTTGTTACTTGGAACACTTCCAATAAACTACAAAACGAATTTTTTATCATTCAATTAGCACCCACCTCAAACACTAAAAATAATCAAATTGCCCCCAAAATGAGTTCGAAACACGAAATTTGCGAAAACGAACGTTGAAAACTTTTTTTTGTTTTTTTATTAATCCTCCTACGCGGCCCAAAGAAGTATTCATAATTAATTTTACTTTTATGCATCATTCATGGAACACGTTCAATGTTTTAAATACAATTGGGCCTTAAATATGTATAAGTTAGTTTAAATATTGACACAATTAGTTTATGAAGTAAATAACCTAGTTTATTTAATCATTATGACAGCATTATTAAACGAAATGCAGGTGGAATGTATGTTGCAATGATTTCGAGTACAGTAAAAGTCAAGCGGGGTGACGTTAAATACTTAAGATTCTTGCTAAAGGGCAATAAAGTTTGTGTTTATTAAGAGAGTTTGTGTTAAGAAGGGCAAATACGTGTAGGCAAAAACGTAAAATTTAATTCTGGGGTCCAAAAAAAGCAAATTTAAAAGTAGAAAAAATTTAAAAATGTGTGATAAACTTACTTTTTGGTTTTTCCTTTGCGGACGGTTGGTTTCTTGGTTTGTGTTATAAAATCAGAAACAACAAATGGCAATGTAAAAGGAAAAGGAAGGAGACATGTATGATGATGTTATTAAGAAAACAAACCGCGTTGCTAAAGGAAAAATGTAATAGTTATATTAATAAATTTTAATTCTCTTCTATTTTTAGAAATCTGACAGTTGCTAATCACAAAAAGGTGAAAAAGAAAGCTATGTTTAAATTACTACATCGTGGTGCTTTAC